AACCGCGTGTGGAATTTATCTTCAATCAATTTGTATGAAGTACATTATTATTATTATTATTTTTTTATCCACAACGAGGAAGCTCTTGGCCTGTATCTCACCTGATGGTAAGTGACGATCAGGCCGAAGGTGGAAGCGAGCTTCACCCGGAATCCTCAACCACGGAGGATTTATTGACAAAGATCTACCAACAACACATCTTTACACAAACAAGTAATGCATGCAATGATGGCAATCTATCTGGTAAAATATATTATTATCTGGTAAAGGTCGCGGGAAGAGCCTGGATGCGAGCAGCGCAGGACCGTTTATTGTGGAAAACCTTGGGGGAAGCCTTTGTCCAGCAGTGGACGTCAATTGGCTGAAACGACGACGACGACATACAATATTATTTTCCATGTATCCTAATACACAGTAACTAGCTGTGCCTGCGACTTCGTACGCGTGAAAATAGTGTGAATAATATTATTTCCCGTTTTTGCATCATTTTTCTTCACTGCTCATGTAACGTGATTTGTTTTACTACTACAAAACAAAAATATTCATAGATTACAGTTGTTTTAAAATAATGTTAGTTACTAACTGTAATAAAAATTAAAAGACCTACAGGCGTCATCTAGTAGGTTCAACAAATTACCCAAACTTAAAATACACTTTATAGGCCAGTAGAATTAAACACAAAAATTGATTAAATCGGAAATAATTCCTACAAAAGATTTTTTCGCTTTAATGGCTTCATTGGTTGTCCATTAAGACTCTCCTAAGTTTTCGACTTCGACAGAGTTGTGCTTAAGTGGTGGCCCCCGAAAGGAGCGTTTTTTCGGTTTTCCGGTTATACCGCGTAAAGGACTTACCCTATCGAAAAGTGGTCTTCATGACGGTTGAAGGGCACTTAATCCTGCATTGAATAAGACCAAATTCAAATGTTTTGGACAAACCGTTCCCGCGCTAAAGTTCGGAAAAGTAGAAAATATACGTATAATTAATGACCCTCTCCACGTCCAATGGCTTGTTACCCACAGGCTTCCAAGTCTTGAAAAGGGCCACCTTAACCAGTGTAACCCTATCAAGGCTTACGAGCTTGATGCGCCTATCCTTGTGCGTCCCAGCCGTTCCTTAACTGCGGTTGGTGCACCTCTTCCTTGCACTCTCCTGAACGACCCTGTGTTACCTACTGTGGCTGTCTCTCTTCCTTGCAGCCTTCTGCACGACTACGTTGCCTAGCCGTATGCCTGGTCCAAGGTTCGACGCCACAAAATCAACTTCGCACGCGTGAAAATAGTTTAAATACTATTTTCCGTGCTTGCAACATTTTTCTTTACTGCTTCGGCTCTATTAGTCGTAGAGTGATTGTATATATCCTATAGCCTTCCTCAATTTATGAGCTATTCAACACAAAAATTATTATTTCAATCAAACTAGTAATTCTTGAGATTAGCGCGTTCAAACAAACAATCAAAAAACTCTTCAGCGTTTTAATATGAACTTGTTGTTGTTGATTTTTGGCGTCAAACCTTAGACCAGGCATACGGCTAGGCAACGTAGTCGTGCAGGAGGATACAAGGAAGAGGGGCAGCCACAGTAGGTAACACAGAGTCGTTCAGGTGAGTGCCAGGAAGAGGTGCAGCAACCGCAGTTAAGGAACGGCTGGGACGAACAAGGATCGAATCCAGCTCGTATGCCTTGATAGGGTTACACTGGTTGAGGCGCTCCTTTTCAAGACTTGGAAGCCTGCGGGTAACGAGCCCTTGGACGTGGAGAGGGTAATTAAATAAACACATATTTTCTACTTTTCCGAACATTTGCACGAGAACGGTTTGTTCAAAACATATGAATTTGGTCTTATTTAATGAAGAATTAAATGCCCTTCAACCATCAGGAAGACCACTTTTCGATAGGGTAAGTCCTTTACGTGGTATAACTGGAAAACCGAAAAAAAGCCCCTTTCGGGGGCCCCCACCACTTAAGCACAACTCAGTCGAAGTCGAAAACTTAGGAGAGTCTTAATGGGCAACCAATGAAGCCATTAAAGCAATAAAATCTTTTGTAGGAATTATTTCCGATTTAAAAGCTAATTCTACTGGACTATTAAGAATTGGCCCGCTATTCACCTTGTACAATTATTCTAATTAGGTATGATTGTTGCCAAGCGTACCTACGCATAATCTGAAATCATAATAAATTGATATTATCATATTGATGGACAGAAGCAGGAAAGTTTGTGTATAAACTACTTTAAACTCACGTTTAGAAAAACCAGTTCAGATCTGGCAAGTTAATTATCCTCTTGAGTCTGTATAAATAGGAAAGATTCAACCGAAGACTTCACACATCGAATCTTCATCTCTGTGGAATCGTTGCTCCTGACTTCAAAATAAACAAAATGGCCGCAATGAAGACCGCCCTGATGCTGCTGCTCATCGCCTTCGCCTTGATGGTGGTGACGGAGGCCGCCGTCCGCGTCGGGCCCTGCGACCAGGTCTGCAGCCGCATCGACGCCGAGAAGGATGAGTGCTGCAGGGCCCATGGACACAGCGGATGGAGCAGCTGTAGTGGCGGGATGTATTGCTACTGACACTACAGCACCACGTCCAATCAAACAAATACTCGCGACGACACAACTGCTAGGAAAAGAGCACTGGCTGCATCTTGAAATGTTTAGAGTCTAAAATTGTTAGTTGTAAGTTTTTTATTTGAGTCAAAATTAAACTTATTTTGTCCTGATCATTTTTTTTTATTTAGACTGACCTAGAACTTGTCATGTAATGACGTAGTAGGAAGTGGGCGTGTACGAGGGAGGATGGTAGAAAGCATGGAATCTTATCTGTGATATTTGGAGGGATTTATTTAGTAAAAAATTACGCTATGTCATATCAGAAAAGATCACTTAAATATCTCGTATTTATAATAAATATTGCTCACCATCCTTCAAAGCCGTATGTCCCTTTTGTTGTCATACACGACAGCAGCACCCTCTGCGGAAAACGCGAGGAAATTCGCCCAATTATGTCGCCCTCAGCTTTTTAGCTTATTTATCAATCAATCTTTGATCTGGGGCTGATAAACACTTCACTATCAACAACCTAAGACCTACGTATCACTGAAGTTAATGGACTTCACTTAGCTGATTACTTATACTCGTAAGTGCCTTTTAAGTGTAGATAGTGCATAATACAAATGTGGTTATTCAAGATATTATTTATTTGTGTAATGACAGTAGGTACATTAAATGACTGGACAGTGGACAGTGTAGGTATCAAACATTTTGCAAGTTTGAGAAAAAAAAACCTTTATTAAAACTAATTATTTTCATCTGCAATAGAATTATATGCGTTATAGAATACTAGCTTTTGCCCGCGGCTTTATTTTGTCACAGATAGTCATTAAATAGCCTATAATATGTTATTCTGGCTTATAAAAAATAATACTGTTAAGTTTCATCAAAATCCATTCAGTAGTTTTTGCGTGAAAGATTAACAAACATTCAGACATCCACACAAACTTTCGCATTTATAAATTAGTAGGATATGAAAATAATTTTGTACTTTTCAAACCAGAATAATGAAAAATACCTAAATAAAAATAATCTATAAATTATTAGCCTGTACCACAGATTACTAAATAATATGATTTTTCCAAAACAAACAATAATAACAATATAACATAGAAAGATAATTTATTTTAATCAGAAACGCAAATGTTTAAAAAAAAGACATATTATATTCATTCAACTGAAAGAATCCAGTATCGGTAAATTCCATTCAAAATACTTGAAACTTGATTAGTCAGTGAGTTTTGGCAACGGACAGTAGGTCGCTGACGATGCGTTGCTGACGTTTGAGCTGTTAGTAACAGTACAATCTTCCGCCATTACAATTGCTCCAGCCGTTATATCCGTAGGTCTTGCAGCACTCGTTTTTCCCGGGCTTGTCAATAATGCTGCAGAGCTGGTCGCACTGCACGACACGAGTGGCGGCCTCTGTCATAGCCACCATAGCGAATGCTACGAGCAGCAGCAGTAAGGTAGTCTTGATAACGGCCATTGTTTTCTTGCAGGATAAACGATATCAGTAACAGGCAGATGCGTTGTGTGAAGGCTTAGTCTGAAGTCTTTGTATTTATATCAATTACACTTCAGGAAAATTAGACCCACAATATTTTATTCCAATGAACTTTTCCTTAGGTATTGTAAATTACTTAGTAGGAACACCACATACAACGCTACGCAAACGAAGACATAACAAGATCATGTCTAGTTAAAATGTGAAAAAAAAAGGTACACTACACATTATTTTTATAAACTTGCAACATAAGTTTGAACGCATGGTTTAAGCATTGTAGTTGTCATATTGCATCAATTTAGGTATGCACACAAATAAAGGAAAATGAGTCTGAGTCTTTGACCGCAATTTTTACACGACCACAACTAGCCCGCGCGTGGTAATTATCTCGGACCCTTAGAAAAAAAACCGGGCCAAGTGCGTGTCGGACTCACGCACAAAAGGTTCCGTACCATTGATTTATGATTTTTTTATTTTTTTATTTAAGTTATTTGTATGAAAGCTTACGCGGTAATAAGCGGTTTACGATTTACCAGGTATAAAAAAAACTACTTACTAGATCTCGTTCAAAACAATTTTCGTTGGTAGTTTTTATAGTAATGTACATATTTTTTTTAGATTTTTCATTTTCTTATTTTAGAAGTTAGGGGGGGGGGGGCAACTTTTTTCCACTTTGGAAGCGTCTGTCACGCAAACTATTCGGTTTAAAAAAGTATTTTAGAAACCTCGATATCATTTTTGAAGACCTATACATAGATACCCCATACGTGTATACGTGTTGGATAAAAAAAAATTAGTTTCAGTTCTAATGTATGGGAAGCCCACAATTTTTTTATTTTTGCATCAAAATCTTAATGCAGTTCACAGAATACATCTACGTACCAAGTTTCAACAGTATAGCTTTCATAATTTCGGAAAAAATGGCTGTGACATACGGACGGACAGACGGACAGACAGAATATGTACCTATTGTATAACTTTGCATAAGTATTCTAACATACAGTGATTCAAAATAATTTGTGATAGAGAAAGAAGCTATCAATGAAAGGTAGTTTAGGAAGTTCGAAACAACATTTAGAAGTGATATTTTGTTAAAATATTTCATATACTGCAACAAAAAAAATTGGTTTATTATAACCATCAACCAAAGCCCTCCCCTTCCCCCCATTTCAGGTTAATAATAGTCTACGATACTCAATTATATTTTATAAAATAATATGACTTTCTGTCTTAATAATGTAACTTTACCTCTTTGTATTTTGGATAGTGTATCAAAACTTGTATTTGTTGTATTTACTTTAATAATTACATATAGAAAAAAAATTATCGAGCCTAACCTAACCACATCCAAAGTAGGTAAGAACATGGTAAGTACAGTGTATCCGTGATCCCATACGTTAAGTTGTATAAATATAAATATATAAATTATCCTTGGTTCAGCCAACGAGTGCAGCTCGCGTGCGCGATGGCGATCCTACTGATTTCTACTGATCTCCATCGTGCACATGGGCTGCATGCACGTTTTGGTTTGGTCGAAACTTAAAAGCGCCCTAAGTTTGTGGACTTGCATAGGTACGCACGACAACCGTCCGGCTCCAAAACGTCTAATTTGAAAGAGCCCTTATTTTCCAATGAACTTTTCCTGCATAGCCTTTAGGTTTTGTAAATTACTTAGTAAGAATAATATACACGACGTTGCGCAAACGTAGAGGCATAACAAAATCATGTCTAGTCTACAATGCCTATACTAGTTGAAAATAAGGAAAAAATACTTTATTAAACTTGCAACACTGGCTTTGTTTTCATTTACGCATGATTAGAGTGTCATATTGCGCCAATTTATGCACAAAAATAAAGGAAAACGAGTCCGAGTCTTTGACCGCGTGTGGAATTTATCTTCAATCAATTTGTATGAAGTACATTATTATTTATTGTCAAAGATCTACCAACAACACATCTTTACACAAACAAGTAATGCATGCAATGATGACAATCTATCTGGTAAAATATATTATTATCTGGTAAAGGTCGCGGGAAGAGCCTGGATGCGAGCAGCGCAGAACCGTTCATTGTGGAAAATCTTGGGGGAAGCCTTTGTCCAGCAGTGGACGTCATTAGGCTGAAACGACGACGACGACATACAATATTATTTTCCATGTATCCTAATATACAGTACAGTAACTAGCTGTGTCTGCGACTTCGCACGCGTGAAAATAGTGTGAATAATATTATTTTCCGTTTTTGCAACATTTTTCTTCACTGCTCATGTAACGTGATTTGTGAGTTATTTAGGTACTACCTACTAAACAAAAATATTCCTAGATTACAGTTGTTTTAAAATAATTACTAACTGTAATAAAAATTAAAAGACCTACAGGCGTCATCTAGTAGGTTCAACAAATTACCCAAACATTTAAAATACACTTTAAGAATTGGCCCGCTATTCACCTTGTACAATTATTTTAATTAGGTATGATTGTTGCCAAGCGTACCTACGCATAATCTGAAATCAAAATTGATATTATCATATTGATGGACAGAAGCAGGAAAGTTTGTGTATAAACTACTTTAACCCATTAACGCCCAAATGAAAACTACGGTCAATTTCCCATAGCCAATGTTTATTTTCTTTATAAAAATACTTCAGAAATAATACTAAATACAAAGAAAACCAAAATCAAAATCAGAAGTTAGGTTTTCAGGGGTGTACTAAGTTTAGTACAATGGGCGCTTATGAGTCGTATTGAGCAAAGCTTTCTTCATCTTGGCACAGTGTTTTCAGGCACTTGCCATAAGCTGTTTTGACTCTATTGAAACACACAGTAATTTTAAGCTATCAAATCAGCTTGTTTGCTGGTTTATTTTGATTATAACCATTATTTCATATTTCTTCTCCATGAACTAGAGCAAGACTACCTACTTTTATTTATCTTTTATAGGTCAAATATGTGCGTACTATATATTTGCGGAATGCTAGCTGATCTAAGCGACTATATGGGTTTACTATGCAGTGCAGTCTGCATGCATTTGAAATTGTAAAAAATCAATCGTATTTCACATTTTATGCATTAAACTTTTTTTTGGCCATTTTCGCAAAGTCGATTAATGACCTTTTTCTCCAACATTTGATAGATGACGTATGTCATCATACTTCACGATCAATATGCCGAGCCAAGGTTGGCTTTTTATTTTCTCTTTAGCTTCTGAAACTGGTATGTTACCGTTATCTGCTATAGTTGTTGACTTCAACGCAAGAAAAATGTGTTTATCATTTAAATCAGTTCAGCGGTATAAGTGTGAAGACAAACAACACAGATACAGACAGCAAATTCTTCCTCTCTCCTAAAATGCTGTGCCCGACAGGGTCCGTAATTGCATCAAAAGTAATTACTATACCATCTCTATAACATTATTCATGTAATACATGATTGATTTATTGTGTATTGACACTCTTTTGTATTAACAAAAAGCTAAACCTATTTTGTTAGATGTTTGGCACTGTTGCTTCTAGGCAACATCGAGGTTCGGAAGCATGTCATGTATTAGAAAACACAATTTCTACGCCAAATATTGCTTTATATGATTAGTTTGATTTATTATGAATTAAATTTAGACAAAACAAAAATAATTAGAAGTGATAAAATAGTACAAAATCATAAAACTTCCGTCTTTGTTATTCTCATTGCGCGTCATCTTGGCGTCTGACAGAAATATGGATATGAAATCACTCAAAACTCAGTCGACGACCGATTTACTAGTGTTTTGCTGAACTAAGCTTTGTAACAAAATCGAATGATTTGCGAAAAACTTATTATTTGGTGCTGTAGAAATATTCAAAGTGGTTGTTGCTTATAAGCATCACTGCCAAATGAAGGGTTAAAATAAATTTGCCGTTCCAAAGTAAAGTTATGCAAATCGCTCTTTTTCGTTAATTTATTTTTGCGAACATAACTATTTACTTACTTCAGTAGTTACTTACTTACTTAGTAGCTCACTGGTTTTAACCCAATCACCCGGTTTTAACCCAATCGGGTGAAATGGGTTTTTACCCACTACCCATCTCTAGTTGCAAGTGCATTTCAGTAGCACTAATATAAAAAAAAAAGTTAGACTCTTGCTGTTTTTACATAGCATAGGTAGGTACGTAATAGTCATATTAGTATTATTATGATTAGAAACAAGTAAGCTTTTTTGTTATTAATATTTAAATATACAATTCTTTGTATTAAGCATGTAAAAATTTAGTTCGAGTTTTCTTTTTCGTAGTAATTGGCAAGCAGAACGAACGGGATTTACCTATTTAATTTAGTATCCTAATTCCTAAGTGGTTTTCAGTTTTAATACACTTATGATAATATTATCTAAGTACCTACTGTAAAACTGAAGAACATTTATTTTAGTCAAAATTAACAATTAAAATATTCGTTAAAAATAATTTAAATTCGTTTTTTTATGACGATTCATTAGAAAAGAGGCGCTTCATAGGTGCCGCACACAGGCGCTGCTGGCGGTCGGCGCGGCCCTGCTAAGCATTAATTCCACTAGCAGTAATAAAATATTGTATGACCATATTATGGTTAATACGTTTTTTTCTTTACGGATGTCACAAAATTTTTCAAACGCTCTATAGGACGCTTGTGTCGTTTAGTCCTTGGAAATGTTTGATAAATATGTTTAAAAAGCTTTAAAAGCCGTTTTTAAAATTGTGACAGTTGACGAATTAAGGATCTATGCATAATGATCCTGAAAATAAACAGCTATCGACTATGGAGGTGTTTTAAGATGAACCAATTCCAACAAAAGTCCCATGCGCTCGGAACACTTTGAAACTTACGGTCGCCTATTTTTCCGAAATATCCGATTATATGACAGAAACGTCACTAGAGAAATTTAGAATGGTTAATTCTTAATAGTAAACAGCCACTTTTTTTTCCAAAAGTCTTCAGTTTAATAAGGGAAACTGACCAGCATAGTTGAATCGCCATTCGTGACGAAAATGTAAGCTTTTACACGTCTCGTCAAAAAACTGTCTATTTGAACACTCAAAATATGA